GAGAGATTCCTGCTCTTTGGGATTTTTCATGACTATCGATAGCCAGGACCTTGGTTTTATGTCTCATCTGAATGACATCACCCTTTTTTTAGCGCCAGTAGTGAGTTGCAGGATGATAATAGCTGCTGGCATATAGCTGCCTTTAACTAATGTTCCTGCATTGAAATCATCTGCATTAGGCCAAGACCTGCACTACAGGAGATTTACATGAGCTTTCTGTGTTGAAGTAACGGCCTCTCTGTTGTGTGTAGAGTTCCGCGAGTCCAGAGCTGGGAAGGATTTCTTTGAGACCTGTCGCTCTCCCGAGGCCTGCTGTGAGCTCACGCTGCAGGTAAGTCTGGCTCGCTCCGCACAGACGAGCCCTGTCCGAGCGTCCGGTGTTACACAGTCCAGACGGCTTGTCCCTTTTCCGCACTGACTTTACATTTGTTTTGTTAATCCTGGTAATTATTAATAAATCGAGGTTAATTTCTTACACTATAATTAAATAAGTAATGCTCCCGTTTCAAGTCCCAGTTGCTTGTGAAGTAGAGACTAGTCTTTAATTCACAGCTTTTTTGTTATTAGGGTAAATGAAACTGTTAACATTTCCACCAAGCGCAGTTATCTAGGAATACTATAATGTCAGATGTGTTGTCTAAAACCATTTTTTGTTTATTTTTTTATTTTTTTCCCTCCTCTGCAGCCCCTGAGACGTTTCCCGTTTGATGCAGCAATCATATTCTCGGATATACTGGTGGTCCCTCAGGTAAGCAGGCTGAGCTGAAACCACAGTCATCGTCTCCCCTGGGCTCACCTGTCGTTTGTACGGGTGACGGTCTGCTTATTACCATAGGAAATGGGTCTCCCAGGGGGCTCCTTCATCAAAGACACTCAGCCAAGCACAGGATGGTCTCTGTAATCAGGTTCAAGTCGGGACCAAAAGAGATATTTAAGGCAGCAGTTTTAAAGTATTTTAAAATGATCTGCTATGAATCGGTTTTAATGTTCCAGTAATTCTTTTTCGCAACCTGCTGCTGAAATGGTGTATAAATTGGGTGTTTTGTGCCGTTTACAGGTTAGGATTACAGTTACCAATAATGTTTGGCTAAACCTATTACTTCGTTTGTTTTAAATACAAAAAATGAGACAACTTAGCGTGCAGAAAAGGTGCTTTCAGGTTTTTTTAATTTCTGAGTATTTTTGATTGACAGACGAGCAGGTCAGCAAAAACTGCAAAATTGGGCCACATTTCTTTTTTGAAGAAACAACACAACAACACTTCTCAAGAATTTTAAATGCACCATTAAGCACAGCAAATGCATCACACAATGTCTAGGTGTTGTTCAAATCCTAACCCTAACTGTAGCTCGGGTTCTGACACTTCTAGAACATATATCAAAAACCTTGCCTTAATAAACTGTGCTCAGAAGTTACCCAGATGACCCCAGATTAGTCAGAAACATTTACATTAGCAGTTCTAAAGGATTTTAAGCGTATCTGCTGTCAATCCGTTTGAATTTTCCAGTTTTCTGTTTTCGCAACCTGCTGCTGAAATGGCGTATGAATTGAGTTTGTGTGCCACCCAGGCCCTCACAGGCAGGTGGTGCTGTCAATGAAGGGAACGCCTCTCCTCCAGTTGGCTCTGGCCCTGCTGTGTGGGATTGTGGTAAAAGCCCAGCTCGAAGGCGGGCGAGTCAGAGTCGTCTGTCTTCATGTCCTACACTTTGAAAAGCACAACAGGCAATTCCAGAATCGAGGGGGCAGGATAACAGTCACCGGCACTTCTAAATTGGTTAAAGGTGAACAATCCCGGGTGGTAATATAGTCCTGCTTTTGAATCATTCTGTTTTTTGTGCAGCCAGGTGCTGCTACCTGCAAATCAGATGAAAGCAGTCTTCTGGGGTTAATTGGAATGACTGGCCAGAGAGCGATTCCTGTGTGTGCCGGCAGATTATTCTGGCAATAACAATAGTGCCCACAAGAATTCCCTGTGCACCCGGAGCACGTGCCGGGCCTGAGCCCGCGGGGAGCAGGGAGAGCTCTGGGGGGCGCTCACGAGACGGTGTTTCCTGACAGGCGCTGGGCATGGACGTGCAGATGCTGGCAGGGAAGGGCCCCACATTCCCAGAGCCCCTGAAGGAGCCCGAAGACCTCTTGCGGCTCCGGACCAAGGTGGACGTGTCCGAAGAGCTGGGCTACGTCTTCAAGGCCATCACCCTGACCCGCCACAAACTGGAGGGCAAGGTCCCGCTCATCGGCTTCACCGGGGCGCCGGTGAGCCACGCGCTGCCCTGCACGAACATCTCCGTTCGTCTGGGAGGAAAACGTCTCTCGGCATTGCTTTATGAACACACTGGTGATTCTGTATTTCTCCAATTTCAGTCTTCCAGACACAAGACAAAGTGGTATTCCTGTTCATGTAAGGTGTACTATTTCCTGTCCATCTTCCATAACGATGCTTCGGCATCTTCAAATAGACAATTAACAAGAGCGTGACCCGGCCCACTCTGTCCTAAAGGAGGACAGAGGTAGTTTATATGATTCCTTCATCACACCCTGGGCACCATGTGTGAGAGAGGCTAGCTGGGTGCACTGTGGGATTTGTAGTTCTATGGCCAGTAACTGCGTGGGCCCCTTGCTGAGGCCATGCTGTGTTGTCTCTTCAGTAATACAACCCTCCCCTCCCTGCAGTGGACCCTGATGACGTACATGATCGAGGGGGGCGGCTCCAACACAATGTCCAAGGCCAAGCGCTGGCTCTACCGCCACCCGGAGGCCAGCCACAGCCTGCTGGCACGGCTCACAGACGTCATCGTGGAGTACCTGCTGGGACAGGTGGCGGCAGGGGCGCAGGTAAGGCGGGGGTGGAGAGGCCTTCCTAGTGTCGTCAACGTGCTCAGACCCACAGATATAACAGAAACCTGTTTGTGGAATTTCTAGAGGTCCTGTCTGGGTGATGAAGTATGTGAATTATTATTTTAACATGTTTTATACAGCTGGTTCTGCTGCCCTGTACAGGTTTAATATTAAATAAAAATGTACTTGTGAATACAGTTGACATTTTATTGAGTTAATTCAGGTTGTAAGTACAATGAAATATGATTTTGCGATGTGTAGCAATAATACTGTCTTTTAAATTGGCAGTAACTTCAGGGAGGGGTTGCAGTACTGGGTGTACACCTGGTGGTGGCACTGTTTGCCCACCACTGTCACTGTCTTTTGGGGGTGCTCAGATCTGGGCTTTGTTTCTCAGATCAGTATGTCAGCATGCCTGAGGGCTGGTCCTCTCCTGCTACATTTCTAGACTTTGCTTAATACAGGCAGAGTTTAATTTGTGCAAGCAAAGTGCTTTTTGTTAGTCATTTACGTTTGTATAAATTCTCACCCTAGCTGAAACATTAGTTGTCTGATTTATTAGATGTGGGAGTAGTGGTAACACTTAGGACCACAGCTGTTTTTTCAGACACTGATTCTGGACTTGTCTGACATCTCTGTGAAGCTGCGGGTTTAATCCAGTCTGAGAATCCTCTGGTGCTCTGTAAGGTTTGTTCACTCAGACTTGCCTTGCTAGGGTTAGTACAGAGTAAAGTGTAGTTCTCGGTACTGAGTTACCAGGTTTCTTTGCAGTCAGGTAAGACAGGGTGGGGGAGAAGGCACTGTTTACAAAGCCATTTCCACAGGTACGCCAGGCGAGAGCTTCTGGCCTTTCCATCATTGTGAGAGAAGCTCATTTCTGTCTCAGGCTCTGCAGGTGTTTGAATCCCATGCGGGCTGCCTGGGCCCAGCGCAGTTCAACGAGTTTGCCCTGCCGTACCTGCGGGACATCGCTCGCCGAGTGAAGGAGAGGCTGAAGGAGTCTGGCTCGGACAGCGTGCCGATGGTAAGACCGACAGGTTGAACAAGTGTGCTGCTCTTCGATGTGCCAGCAGGTGGCGCCAGATCAGCCCGCACATGTGCCACTCTGCTCTAAAAACCATTACAAAAGAAGAGATGCTTTGTATCTGGAATTTGGCTTTCTTGTAATTACCTCTTTTGTGAAACAATGAATGCTGTCCCTGTCACTTTTAAAGTGGGTGCCACTATTGTACAGAGAGTAATTTCAAGGCACCTAATGTCAAACTGTATTAACCTTGGATCTCACGTCGGTTACTTTGCATTAAGTTGTATTCATGTGACAGGGCTACAGGAGAGCATAACTCCTCCTCCTTCCCCTCAGATCGTGTTTGCAAAGGACGGTCACTATGCACTGGAGGACCTCTCGCAGTCTCACTATGAGGTGGTGGGTCTGGACTGGACCATTGACCCCCGGGCGGCACGGTGAGTGACCTACCTGACCGTACGAGTCCAGCCCCGCCCAGCACAGACAAGAGCGCTCCTCAGCAGTGCCTCTTCACAGCCACTGGCAGGACGCTTGCGAAGTAACAGTTCAGGCGGTAGACAGGCAGTGGCAACACGTCTCCAATTCCAGAATAACTCACCGAGCAGTTTTAAGAAAACAAACCCTTGGTTGGAGTTCAGTCTCTGTTAGGGGATCGTTTCTGCAGATGGATAAAAATGTCCTGCTGACAGGTTGTTTACCAGAGAATCAGCATCTGGAATTTGTGTGCGGTGCGTCTCTGCTGTTCACAAATACTCAGACGGCCTTGATTCCAGTCTGCCTTCGTCGCTGTTGACCGCTGCAGGTCATGTGTCTCCGACTTGTACAAATCCAGGCTTCTGTCCTTTCAGGGGGCGAACAGGAGGCCGGGTGAGCCTGCAGGGAAACATGGACCCCTGTGCGCTGTATGCTCCCAAGGTGAGAGTTTCCAGGGAGAGGAGAGAAGCAGGATGGTTTGGACAGCTGACTGCTTCCGTATGGAATTGCCAACAGCTCGTCAACAGCCTCAACAAGGGGCCGTCTCGTTGTCTCGTTCCAGGAGCGGAAGCTTTGATGTCTGTACGGGCGTGGGGCGCTGGGACGGGCGGGTGTTTGACCGCAAGAGTGCTGGTCCTGGGTGCCAACGTTCTGGTCTTTGTCTCTCCTCCGCAGGAGCAGATCGGGGAGACGGTGAAGACGATGCTGGAGGGTTTCGGCACCCAGAGGTACATTGCGAACCTGGGGCACGGGCTGTACCCCGACATGGACCCCGAGCACGTGGGGGCTTTTGTGGAGGCGGTTCACTCGCACTCCCGGCGGCTGAGGAAGCTCGAGTGAAGGGGACGAGTCGTGGTCAGGAGCAGCCTGCGTCTCACACTGCATCGGTCTCTCACAGAGCAACGGTCGTGGCTCTTCATCACAGTTCTAATCCTGGAGTCTCTGGAGACGTCACTCAAGCTACATGCTTTATAGTTCCAAAGAAATAACTGAGTTACCCCTATGATCAAATATATAGCATTCTATATAAATACAGCAGCGTTTTATATTCTAGATAATAAAGAAACAGTTGTTTCGCACTGGAATCGTGATGTTCCCTGTTTTACCTTCAGTCGGAAGAACCAGTCAGGCTGGTGGGCTGAACAGTCGGAGATATCCGAGATTGTAGGCGATAAACATGAAAAACGGATGAACACGTGATCTAAAACACCGAACGATGTTCTCTGTAAATCGGGAGGCTCTGCTTTCCAGCAAGTCACGCTGATTCTTATTTTTGTGCTCGCCCTGGAGTGGTTCTAGAGAACTGTAGTTGTATGGTTTTAACTTCTGAAAAGCTTCTAGGTGATTTACTTCCCAATTCTAGGGGGGTTGCATGATGAGACTGAGTGGTCCGATTATTCTCTTGCAGCACTCCGTCTTCTTGTGCAAAACCGGCCAAAACAAAAGCCCACCCACCTGCTATTTCCATCGGAAGAGAACAAAATCAAGTGAGATCTGCGAGTCTGAACAGATCTGCCGCTTCTGTCTGGGTGCTCATCTTGAATTGCAAAGACAAATGTGCGGCATGAAAACCTAACCAGGGCCACCAATGCTCGTTACAGGCTGGCTCCTGGAGATCAGTGCAATGATGCATTACTTTCGCTGCACTGATAGTGGACTGGATTGTCCTGTTGTTTCATGGGCTTGAAGCAAATTGACCTACCATCTCCATAAAACAGAGAAGCTGTGTGGAGACGGAGTTAGGGCTCGGGGCTTATAACTGTTATGTTGTGAGACCCTTGAGCAAAGTGCTTCACTTGTATTGTTCCAGTTAAATACAAAGTGTAGACAAACTTGGTGTTGTGCAAATGTAAGTCTCTTTGGATAAAAGCATCAGCCGAATGCATGAGTACTTCCTACTTCTACTGAAATGATTCTGCCGTGGCGGCGACGATGAATGTAAAAAATCAGAGCTGGCACTTGTGAGCGTAATGGCTTGTTTGTGTCGGAGGGGCACGCCGTACAGTAAGCAGCTGCTGTAGTGCATCATTTGGGCACAAACAGTGTACTGTTGTCACAATACGGGATAAATAAACCCTGATTGCAGCGTGAGGTCCCGTAAGCCTTTCAAAACTGCAAATCAATTTGCTGATTAGCGCTTGAGGATGTTGAGCTCCCGTCGGTGTCGGGGGGGTTGTTTGTTCAAAAGCGATTGGACGATGGGAACTAGGAAACACAGGGTACGCACTCTGCACAGAGGGTGCAGGGGCACAAGGCTGCCTTTTCATTGCAACAATGAACACACGCTTTAAAAAGCCGAACTCCCCGAGACCTCCTTAAAACACACACAAGCAGCGCCTGGGGGCGGGGCGTCCGGCTGCCTCTCTCGGCCAATCAGAAAGCCCGGAGGGCCAGTCGACTCCCGGAGACAGCGCGCTGCGCTTCATGTGTCAGGGCCCGGGCTATCAGCTTCTTATCAGATTTGAGGGTTTTGGCTGTGATTGATTTAAATATTACCCGTAGTGATGGAGATTTATGGGCTTATCCCCGAGCCTGGAAAACAGATCTGACAAACCCCAGCAAACAGGAGCAGCCAGTTCTTGTTTTCCTCCTGGCAACAGCGCAATAAAGCGCACTTTGGAGAGAGAGAGTTTCAAACAGCTCCTCTAACGCGTCTTCAGACAATAAGCAGTGCTATAAATAATCAGCTAAAGGTATATTTAAGCAGCAACAATACCCCCTAAAGTCTGAGTTGAGCAATTTCGGAAATGAGCGTTATTAACTGTGGACAATTCAGATCTTAACCAACAGAGCGCTCTGTGCCCAGACTGTTTTCCCCAAGAGTTTCTCCAACTCTCGCTGAAAGGACTGCACGTCTCCTCTGCAATAAAAGTTAAGTTAAAAGAATAAAGCCGAAGGCACCTTTACCATGGACTCGTGGAGTGGGATCAGTAACACCTCCATGGACCAGACGCACAGGTGTCAGTCTGCTGTGTCACTGCTTTCATCCGGAGAGGCACTGGCTACTCCTTCATTCGGTCATTTACACGCATAGCCCTGACCCTTCCTCCTCTGCTCTTACAGCCTGCTCATATCTGACAAGCCCCAGAGACCAGTAATGTCTTCCTGCTCTTTTTTGAACTTCAGGAAGAGATCTATTCTTTGCAGAGGAGTGGTAACCAAAACTGACCACGGTATTCTATATCAAGTCTCAATAGTGTTTGTTGTAAAGCATAACTAATTTTGATTTATGTTCCACAGTTTTTGCTAGATGTTGAAGCTTTATTTGCTTTTTAATTGTTATCTTCATGAAAACAGAAGAATCTACTGATCCCATAGACCCTTTTATGCATAGATTTATTTAGCTCTGAATTACCCATTCTATTTACATCGCCTTCTTACCTTCTTTTTCGATTGGTATGCCTAATCCTTGATTTTGAAGGTTTTTACCACTTCCACTGTCAGCTGCAAGTATAGTTTCCCGACTAGGAAAATCTACATCCTTCATACAGTTGAGGATAAACTGTGGTCTGAAATGGGTCTCTGCAGTACACCTCTGTTTCCCTGAAATCTAAATGTAGCCGGAGATAGGTTTTAGTGTTTAGAAATTTAGGAATGGTTACCTATAAAAATGAATTTATTACATAACTCACCAATAACTTAGTGGTGTTCCAAAACTTTATGAAAATGTAAGACTCACAGGACTAGAGCTATCTAGTACCAGGGTCAGAGATATCTGGACTACCATAATACCTTGCTTAGTAGGATATCATCTAAGGTTCCTATCAGGGTTTAGTATGTTCACCATTACACAGCTCATGTGCTAAAACTTCCTGAGCTTTAAATTTAAGACTTTCCTGCTTACATTTAATGCACTCACTGGTCCGTTCTGCTCTCGGTTTTATTTGATCAGTTTACTTTGCGGGTTTTCTTTTAATTAGTTTATGCATGGACTATTGTCAAGTTGACAAACTTTGATTATATTATAAAAATTATAAGAAGCATGCAACACCCACTTGAAATTCAGATTCCAAAAAACACCATAAATACAAAAATGGTTTTACTAAATAAAAGGGCAGGAAAGCCATTTCCTTGTTCATCTCATCCAGGTCACTTCAGCTAAACTCGTTTCCCCCAGGAATAAACCCATCTCACTAGCTCTCTTATGATCAATTCAAGGATCTGATCCAGTTCTTTTTTTTTAAGAAGAAGCCATGCAGGGTACTGGCCTCGACAACAGTAGCTCAATGGTTTGTTCTCATCTCCCACAACTCTTTGTGTAAGTATACCTCAGCATGGAATGAAGACCATGAGTTAAATCCAGTTGTGTGGCACACATTTCTGGCTCTGAAGCAAAGGTCAGCGATGGTGCGACCGATCACACCACTTGTTTTTTTTTTTTTAAAGAGAAAAGCCAGAAGAAATTAGAAAGCGTATGTAGAATAGCCCAGTTATTTTGTTATACTCACTGGATCCTCTGGCGCAGAGCGTCATGGTTTTTTCACATCTCGGCTCGCGTGGGGGTCCCCTCACAGTCACGCAAGGGAGGATCGGAGAGGGTGGGCAGACTCCCCGCCTCATGCATCACAGGCACCGACCGGAGAGTCGGGTTGGGCTGGTGGAGAGAGTCATCCCTCAGCAACGGCCTGTACTTCTTCGGGAGGCCACAGGAGGTCACTGTGCGACCGAGAGCCACGGCCAACACATCTCGCCATTGATCCCGGAACTGTGCTGGGCCACTCGGGGAATTGCGGGCAGTCGAACAGTGACACGACCACGGTTTGACTTCCTGATCAAAGGCGTGTCACTTCACCAGAAATTACCGGACGTAAATGATGAGCACAAGACACAGGCTTTATAATCCCTTCACAGTGATCAGACACAGTGAACAGTCTTTGCAGCACTGTGCCCATAAACTGAAAGAGTTAAAAAAACAATGAACATGCTTGAATTAATGTTTAAATTTACCTCCATCTACTGGTACAATACCATTAAATAGGAATACTGGCAATTATAACAAACCTTCCTAATACCTTTCACTCAACATTCAGTTTCTCTTGACTATATGGCTGCTGGTGTTTTCTTTGCACCCCATAAAGTTGACTTGGAGAAAAAAAAAACATTCACATTTAAAGCATTAATACCAGTTTGTCTCAGATTCCAATTAATAATTTCCCCCACATTCCATGAATAAAATGAATAGTCCAATAATAAAGCAGCACATTACCAAAATGAATCACAATGAGGAAAAAAAAAAAACAGTTAATGGCCTGCTGCTGCCAAGAGAATTGATGGCCTCATTTCTAGAGGTGATCAATCTGCTTCACAGAGCTAGTACCCACAACTCCAAAAGCCGATGAGCTTGACTTTGCTTTGGTGTAGATATCCGTCAGGCTCTGGGCAGCCAGTGACGCCGGGCTAGAGGATGCTCCTCTACAAAAGTCCATCATGGTTCAAGCTGTGGATGTCAAGCTTCCAAGTCTTTCATGGTCTCGCCACAAACAGAGCGAGACACAATAGTGCATGAACCGGGTCCAGAAAACACCACCGCTGAGCAGAAAGGAAAACGGGGCAGTCTGTGTTTCACACTTTATTCATAGAAAAGCACTGAAATTTCAACACAAATCATATAAAATGGTAGTAGCATTACATAAATAGTAATAAATTTTTGTTTCATAGACATTAGCTCAAGAGGTTGCACAAAAAAAAATTGTTGATGAACGATACTTCTGTGGCAACAAATACTGGATACCTTCCTTTATTTTCAGTAGCACAAAGAGGCGACAAACACTTTCTCTTAAATTAAAATCTAAACAGTAGATAAAACTAGTCAACATTCTCTACCAGCGCTTTTTATTTATTTTTTCTTTCCTTCTAAAATCTAGGACAGATCAAAACACTGGTACAGTTAACACATCAACACTTGGGGTGTGGGAGGAATAGTAAAAACAAAGTAGGGGGAAGTGATCAAATAAAAAAATCCTCCTCTTCTTGCAATGCAGTTGGACCAACTATAGTTTAACTATATGACAGGAAGCAGGGAGAAAATGCAGTTGGGACTGACCTCAATGTTTAAACATCGCCGTACTGCAGCTGACTCAGGGAACAGCAGTTGAACAGCAGCTCAACACAAAACGTTTTCAGCCCCTCTTGTCCTAATTGAAGTACTCCTGTTCTTCCCGAGACAAGTTGCTACATCTGTGTAAATGACTTAAGATTAGGCTCGACTGCTGAAACCCTTAAACCAGGGGGTTCCAGGGGCACATATCGCTGTTCGCTGTTCCACAGCTCCCGGTAGAAACATACGTGTTACAAAACAGGGGGACGGGACTAGGAACTCGGATCTACCCGATCGCTGCTGCATGATTCCTGCTGTGAAGTTTAGCTTGCGATTTCTGTAACCTGGATTTCAGCTGAACCGTATAAGAAATGCAAACAACAAACTTGGAAAAAGGCTTGCACGATCTCATGCCATTATCACCCCCCGAGAGAAACTTGTATCTAGAAACGGGACACTGCCCTTTCCTAATGTGCGGCCCAAGGTTTGTGCTACAGGTGTGTGGAGTGGCAGAGAGATGAGTAAAGGCAGGAAGTGAGAGGGCACAAAAGACTCCACCTCTATAGCCCAACAACTCTACTGGCTCATCTGTTTCTTAGAGGTTTCTTCTTTCTGTGAAATCCCAGTTCTCTTAAAACCAGAAAGAGAACTTAAAAAGGCAAGTCATATCTACAATAATATATATTTTATATATTTTAATAAAATGCTAAGGCTAAAAGTCCAAAAAAAAAAAGAAGAAGAATTTTACACCTCTCTGGCAAAGGCAGAGTCCAAACGCACAGCATGAGTGGGTCGTGCATACAGATATACACCTTGACATGCTGTCCATCTTCCACATGGTGCCTGGGCACGGGGTCAGCCTCCTTCGTCCTCCTCCTCCTCCTCCCGAGAGAGAGGGAGGGAGCGAGGTGGAGGGGCAGATTCAATGACTCAGTGGTTCTGCATAGTCTGGTGCTTTGTTGTTCTCTCCTTTTTCGATTTCTATATTACAAGCTTCCTCTTGCACAACAACATTGCAAAATTAAGAAAAAAAAATACCAAAAAATAAAAATGAAACACAGGAGCACCTGAGAAATGTTTTTTTTTTCCTTACGTCTTTCCTCTTAATGTTCCAACATTCCCAGCCCACAACAAATTCAAGTATCCAAAAAAAAAACATACGATTATCATAAATAATTATAACTTTACATTTTTTAATTGACACTTTTATATATACAATTTCATAAATGCTTTTGCTACTATTTTGTCTTGTTTTTTTTTTTAAAGCAATCCCTGAGAATGGACTTTTAGTATTTCCTTTCACTCCGTCATTCTGTTTTTCTTCCTTTTTTCTTTTGAAAAGTACCTTCATTAAAAAAATACGACCTACAACAGAATAAATACAATTAAAAAAAGGCTTAAAAGAAGAGTGTCAGTAAGCCGTGACTGAGAAGCAGTGCTGCTGCTCTTGCTGGATGGATTTGGTGGTGCTCAAGAGAGGTTAGTGTTGCAGATCGTCGTTCAATCCCTGCTCTGTATTCCACACTGTCAACCAGGCCTTTTGTAAGGTTTAAAGCTGATCCTTGGAATAAGAAAGAGGTATAACACTCTGCAGCCAGCATTTTGGTACGACATTGATTTTCAAGAACTTCTTAACCACTACCTGCTGCAAAGGAGAGTACAACCTGGCTCAGAATTTGGTTTTTACGTGCCACTTCTACACGATCGTGAAATTTGTGTGACAGAACGAAACTCTGGGGGAAAAAAATGAACGTCCACCTCCGTTATTTTTTTTCCACGTAAGATGTTTGAGGTTCCCCCCCTCCTCACAATTTCCAACCCGGCAGAACCACATTGCGTTATGATGCCTGCTCAAAAACCACGGAAACGGAAAGAAAACAAGGGGGAGAAAAAAAAAAGACAAGTAACAATTAAAAAAAAGAAGAACAATAACTACAGCTGTCTCCTGTTATGTGCCTTGGCATAGTCATCCAAAGCGCTCCCTCACCAGCATCATGAGTTTTTTCTTGCCCTTGTAGATCTGTTTGAGGTTGTCTATGAACTGGGCAAACTGGATGTGTCCGTCTTGGGCGAGCAGGAAGGTCTCCCGGGCCTTGCTGAGGAACTCGATGAACTCCCCGTAGTGCCGGGGGCTGATGTGCGTCAGGCGGGAGTGGGTGGTGTTGATGTAAGCGCTGATAGTGGCGTCCAGCAGCTGCCGCAGGGGGGCTTTGTCTGTGGACATGAGCTTCCCAGAATTCCGGCGCCCCGGGATGCCCGCCAGCCCCGGAGCGGTCATGGTGCAGCGGCGCAGGATGTCCGACAGCACGGTGGCGCAGTGCACGCTCTTCACCACCAGGGGGATGATGGCGGCCAGCTCGTTCTTGCCGAGCGAGTGGCTGAGCGCGCAGGCCCACAGCACGTCGTTGATGGCGGGGTGCGTGTCCTGGTTGTAGGCCAGGTTGAGGTGGGTCATCGCCAGCGAGGCCAGCTTGAAGGCCCGCAGCGGGTAGCCCCGGTGCTCCATGTAGCGGGCGATGGTGAAGAGCTGGGAGTAGGTCATTCCCGTGGAGGCGGCGTCGATGACGATCTGGTAGGCCGTCTCGAAGGCGATGTGGTCCTTCTCGCACAGCGTGAGCGCCGAGAGGGCACAGTTCTGCGGGTCCTTCATGGCACACTGCAGGGCTAGGGTCCGCGCGCAGCTGGCCAGCTCCTCCCGCTGGGGGTAGTCCAGGCTGAGCCGCAGAATGGTATTGTGGGACATGACCGTGGCCGCCACGATGCTGGTGGCCTCGGTGGGGGTAAAGAGCGTGTACCAGCTCTGGAGGATACTCACCAGTGCCCTCAGACCTGAGCAGACGAGAAAGAAGCCCACTTAGAAGAGAGAAGGAGAGGGCAAGAGTGCTACAAGTGTACAGTAAAGATGTCCCCCAAGACTTAAAAATGACCAATTTCACTCTTACCATCTGGGACATGTGGAAGTCTTTAGAGTAAAAATGGAAACTAATAATCAGCACTGCTTTTAAGAGAATTTCCAGCAGCTTGGAGGTATATTTTGTCAGGCATAAAGGTGATATTCCTTCCAGTACAGTACATTATTATCTAAACGAGTCTAAGTGTCTCAGGGGAAGGGACTTGTAAAAACAGGCTCCTTACCACAATGGTTATACAAAACCAGAACACACTTCACAGACATTATGTGCTTGATGAGAAAGAAAGAAGAGCATGAAGAGCGGAGAGGAATTAAAAAAGAAATGAAAGCAAGGTGGACAGAAAGGGAAAGGTGGATGAAGGGATAGGGTGGATTGATACTGACCGACTTCAGTGGCACAGGTGACGAGCCAGCGCACCATCTCTCTGCGCCTCCAGTTCAGAGTGGACAGCGTCATCCGCATCACCTGCGGGGGGGGGAGATCAGGACACGTCAGCGTCAGGGCAACACGGCTCACGTCGAGCAGCAGTGACAAGAGACCGAATAACCAACTGCCTTAAAGGGAGGGGGGGGGGCTCTTCACAGAGTCACGTGACACCAAGGAACGGCACGGGAAACAAACGGCCCAACCTGCAGTCCCAGCTCCAGGGCCACGTTGAGCAGGGTGATGTCTGGGGGGCTGTCTGCGGGCGTCGCGATCTTGAAGGCGTCCTGAGCCAGCTTGAAGATGAGGGAGGAGGAGTGGATGTTCTTCTGAATGGCCTCCAGCACCGTTCGCAACCGAAGCATATCTCCTGAGGGACCCAACCAAGGAGGGGGAAAAAACTAAATCTCTTTCTCTTCCTAACTCCAAGACCAACGCCTTTTAAACCAAATTACAGTTTTTGGCCATACAATTACAAATGGGGGGGGGGGAGGAAAAATGCAAAGCAATTTACATTCCTGTCCTGCTTTTACACTGGCAGTGGCCCCTTGCTTTACAGTTTGCACACAGCCTTACTGGAACAGCTGTGATGCAGAACACTGGCTGCCTTTCCAGTTAAGTTAATGAATCTGGATACAGCTCAATTTTCAGCTGTGTTTTTTTTCATTTTTGCATCACAAGCCCTGAGTCCGACCCATGGAGGTGATGGTGTTCGTCTTGATTTAATATATCTTTCATGATCCCGTATTTCTCATGGCACTCTACAAAATGAGCAAACACAAGAGGCATGCACGGTGCTTGCTAACGTATCTCGGTGCTGTGTACCCACCTTTAGCAGCGGTTAGCATGGTTGATGCCAGCTCACACTGCTGGGACTCCAGGTGGCCCAGGGTGAACCAGCGTGGGTAGCGGCTGGGCACGATGGAGATGCCATGGTGTGGGTGGCTCACATCTCCTGAGGGGGCTGTCGACTCCAACACAGGGAGTCTGGTAGACAAAAAAAAACAAGACGCGATGAAAATCCCGGTCCTCGATGTGTGAAGTGTTCAAACTCCTTACCATTCCCCCCACTGCTCACTCCCGTTCCTGACACTCCAGGCACGAGGTGGAGAGGGTGACCACTGTCCAGGCTCCTCCCCTGAAAGCAGGGTTTACCCATCTACCTGCCTCGTTCACGAGAAGAGCAAAACGCACGAGACAGGAAATCCAAGGTGCACAATTTTTTTACTTTTCAATACTAATAATAACCCTACTCAGGGAGCAAATATCCCCATATAGAGGATATCAAAGGATGAAAACAAATAATCAGGAGTTAAATAAAGATTACGAGGATTATACACAAACAGGAAGCAGAGGGATTTCCCAGCATCCCAGTAAGTGGCTAAAAATGTTCCAATGCTTATGGTGAAAGTGGATGATTCCCGTTTAGATGGTAAGTGCATTTTGTTTTTAAATAAATATGAAGCCCCCTGACCAATCAGGTACAGTATCCGCAAAAGCAGATCAAAGCTGCACGTAAGCATCTGTAACAGACCTGCCCATGGGCAGAGTGCAAGTCCCACTGCACTCACTTTTACTGCAGCTACAGAGCTGCTTTACAGTTTTAAGCTATGCCATTGATTTTGCATTAGCAGTACCCTCAGGAACTCTACAGGAAACATGATGGTTCAGCTCAGCCAGGGATCAGTCTGCAAAATTGTTGAGCTAACTTTTTGCTTAAAAGGTTATAGCACACAGCTCCATCATTGTAAAAGGAAATGAATGATTTTCCAATTAGAAATACAGGGCACAATGCTAAAACCAGATTATCTTTGTTATTGACATCATATAAAAACACTTGCACTGTAGTAACTGGGATTGCAGTAGGTGAGAAAAAATACAGTGATTAGTGAGAACTGAAGGGAATTTTCAGTGTTAATTTGCAATTATACCTTGTAACCTGAAGCTTACGGTCAGTGTCCTGTGTTTATTTCATTTATTTATATGCAACCCTGTGAAAAGCCCCTGTAAATTACTCTTATATTAAGATGGCTTCTTAATAACAATCCAGGAACTCACAGGTCTACATTTAAAATTAAAATCTACACAAAATTGTACACCCATTCCCAAATTATAACTATTACAAGTATTACAGTATTACAAAACAGTCATTTAGAAGAGAAAAATAATGTTGATCCCCAGGTATTCTCAGTATTGTGATCCTTAATTTGTAAACTTGACAGTCACAAAGACGTTTAGAAAAATATATTAAACACTACCTAGTATAAAATGTAAAAATGACATGGGTCGCAGAAGACAAATGCAAACACAAAGATTGTTTAAAATTCTATACGTCTAAAAAAACAGTTTAGTTTTATATATTTAATACAATCCTATTTCTTTCACAGGATCATCTGTATAACCAGGTAAGAAAATCAGAAGCAGGTTATCTGTCGAGTATATTAATCTGGATTTAAGAGCATGACAACTTCAAACCATCTTGCACCTGACTTGCAGACGGTGTGCTAGCTGATCTCAAGCAATGTATCGGTGTGGAAAATTAAACAACAGAAGACTTTCAATACCTTTAAAATGAAAAACCAGAGTACAGTCTGTGGTCAGCTGAGAAGATAGTAATCACAATATTACTGTGGGGCCCGTATCAGAATTTGCTACAGTCTGGGAGACGTGTGCTGACAATATAGCAGATCACACGCTGTGCTGTTGGTTGTCATTTTCCACTGTATGTGGACTCGAACTGTTTACTCGATTTCTTCCTTTTGATGTCTTTAAATGCTTCTAATTAAAGTGGGGCCCAAGTCATTATAACGTGTAGTTCACTAAGAGTCAACTTTTCAAGCCCACAAAACAGGGATTGTGTACGACAGTTGTCTCCGCCCCTTGTGTTTTGTGCCATGTTAAGGTGCAGAGGACCGCGTCCGTCAGACTCTCCTTTAAAGATTAACTTTGGAACTTGGTATACCACAGAATTTTTCCATAAAGAACACATCAAAATATTGTATTGCTGCAGCAGCATCACCAGTCTGAATTCCGGGCCTGGTCAGTACTGGGATGGGAGACCCCCGAGAGAAATTCTGCTGCTGAAAGTGCTGGTGGTGTTGCTCTTCCCTCTAGCTCAGAATTCGTCAGTCAAGGGGACACTGTGCTGCAGGACGTGCTGTCCTTCACATGAGACATGTAAACTGATTGCTCGTCATCCCACGGCAAGAGTAGTCCCAGTGTCCTGGCTAAATTCCACTTTGATCCTGCACACTCTAGCCTATCTAAAAGTCCGATTAAAAAATACAACTGACAGATGAATTAATCTGGGCAGTGGAGGGTATATACTGGCCCAGAACGTCAGCTAGGTGCTGCACTTCAGTGGTGGGTGGAAACCGTCTAGTTCTATAAATAAAACACTCTGGGATCCTGTAGGATGAGAAGCGCTCAGTCAATTCAAGGCACTACTGTTGGATCTGAAGTCCCAGCCTCCCTCTCAGGTTGGTCATGGTGGAGTAAAGGTGTGAGGCGGCTCTTACCTCATGGCACGCAGGGCCAGTTTGTAGGCCAGGTCAGTGTCGTGTGGCAGCAGGGCAGAGAAGAGGTACTTGGCGAAGGTGTGCATGGGCACACTCTCTCTGTGGATCACCTCTCCTAACCCACTGAACGGGCCACCTGGCACAGCACAGACAGACATGTCAGAACAGCCCCCCCTGGACAGAATGCATTCAGCAAACCAACCCAAAGGCCAGGCTAAAACAGATGCTGTGCCTATGTCCTGTATGCTACCCAGGAAATGCTTTCCTCTGTGCTCACCAAAAGGGGGTGCAGGAACCCTCAGAAGAGTAAATAAGCACCTTAACAGAAGTCAGAGAGGTCTAGAGGTGCAGAAAGTGCCTGCGGTTAAAGATATTGTCTGGGGATGTTGGAATGTAAGAGATCATCCTAAGAGAGGAAACAAAATACCCTTTTAAGAATTACACAGCTCTATTAATAAAAAAAATACGTTGCAGTGAAAATTTGTTAACCTGGTTCAGTATTATATTGAGGTTTAAACCCCAGGTAATGCACTTTGAGGAAAAGGCTGTTCTTCCTTCCATTTGCAACTGACAAGTCTGTGGTTTGACATCTTTGGGTTCAAGGACTCCGTCACTAAGGGCGTTCATTGCTCAAAAATAAAAATAAGCAATCAAGTTGACTCAGGACAATATCAAGTATATTCTCTGCTACGGCTCGGAATGGCGGGTCAGCATCTCCCTGACCCAGGTTCCAGCACGGGGAGGTGGCACGTACCCTCCAGCAGGAGAATGGACTGCTTGCGCAGGGTCTGCACCAGCACCTCGTCCAGTTCCAGCTCCTGCAGGCGGGCGATGATCTGCTCCTCGTTCCGACACACCTTGTCCTGGGCGTACAGGCCCTCGGGCATCACCCGCTGCTGGCCCATGCCCATGAGCGCCACCTCCAGGGCCAGCGCCAGGTACGACTCCCCGCTGTCCTGGCACCCCCACACCGGCACGTGGTGATAAACTGGTGGCTTGGGCTCGCCCGAGTCTGCGCAAGGAATGCGGAAAACGGAAACCAGTCAGCCCCAGTTAGAGCGCCGCCTTCTGCTCTGGACAGCAGCTAGGTTGCAGGGATGATAGAAATCAACATTCTGGCTTTCCTATTTTATACTACCGGCGCTTCTTATGAACGTCTGGGAAGCAGAGAACAAATGTATTCATAAGAAGAAGGATCACCATGTGGTATGGCAACACCTCTTCGCGAGAAAGAAAGGCACTGCAGAGAATGGTCAATATGGCCCAGAAGATCATCGGCTGCGGTCTCACCGAGATTAAACGGCTCTATGAGGACCGCTGCCGTGGTAGAATTCTGGCCATCACAGAGGACAGTCACCACCCCGGGCATGAGCTCTTCACCCCACTGCCCTCAGGCAAGAGATATAAGAGCATACGGACACTCACCACCAGATTCTTCAATAGCTTCTATCCACAAGCAGTGAGACATTTAGCCATCCCCCTCGGACCACACCTACACCATCACCATCTACCTCTTTATGATTTCTTATCTATTGCACATCTCCAGTCATTGTTGACACGTCTGTATTGTTTACATTCAAACTGTCTGCATGTTTACTTGCACATTGTCTATTGTTTGTTTGTACATTGTCTTGATGCACTGTTTTTCCTTTGTTTTGTTTTTTACACTTGTTTTACAATCGAGAGACTTTCTGTGAGTAAGAATTCCATTGTACCAGTCCCGGTTACATATGGCAATAAAGTTCAAGTTCAAGTAGATTATGCTGGGTTCAGTTTTCAGTTTTAGTGAAAAGTCCAACTGCACCCCTCCAGGGACCATTCAGGCACCCTGCCGCAACATTAGGATAGCAGCCAATTTCAAGAATAATTCACACCACCACAGCCGTAATGCCAGAGGTACAAGGCGAGATGTTTACACAGATGGGTTTTTATTTCTCCTTTGTGTCCAGCTGTGGGAGGTGTTTTTCATACACGTGTACAAGATTGTCTGTTTTCAGGAGAGCGAGGCAGGGAGAAAAACACTAACATCTGCTGGCACTGACTGAGACCCCAAAGCTCTGTCTTAAATCCCTAGAGCAAATTATCTGAAGCCAATCCTATTTATTAGGGGATGGATCTGGACTTGAGATTTATCCACTCAGAAAACCAGGTCACGGTTCTCAAAGAGGGCTAACATGATAAACAACAGGAATTTCGGGAGATGATTCGGAGCCCTTTTCACTCTGACCTTGATTACTGCGAATCACTGTCTTGGTAGAGCCCTGGTACTAACTAGGGGCACGATGCAATCGCTGTGAATATCTTCTGAAGGGCACTACCTCCCTCTAGTGCAACAGCATCATACAGTGCCCACTTGACTTGCATTCAGGGGCAGGGCAGAGCAAACCAGCCCTGTGGCTGCTGGAGGAGGCACCACCAGCAGCAACGCCAGATGTTTACAGCTGCCGCAGAAGAACAAAGAGCTGTCAGGAATGCGTAGATCAGACTGCAACGTCTGAAACAGCGCGCCCCTCTGCATTTTTCTTACAGGAGACAAACGCTCTATTGTGAGGGTTCAACAAAAGAAAATTCAGTGCCCCACCTAGCAGTGGAAGTACTCAACACAAATATCCGATCACTGACCACATGATTTATCTGAAAAACATGAAGTCCTCCCTTCCTAAGGTCTGTGGACAAACCTTAAACCTTTTCTTGCAATGCTAGACCACTTAAGATTCACCTCAAAGCTGGACGCAGAACTGAAGCTCTTTAGACTTGTTTGTGGTGGAAGCTGTGTGGAAGGTGTGACTGACTGAGCAACAGCTGAGGAGTTCATCGAATCGGATAAGCCAGAAAACGTTTAGGGAACAAGAACGTGCACTGTGTTAGACAGGGAAGGAGAGAAGAGCTCAGGGAAATGGAGGAGTTTCAGTTGTTGTCCAGTGTCTCTACCTCCTGTATCCATGGAAGTGTCATCCTCCAGGCGGCAAGCTTCAGTCAGAGTGCCGAACAGGCAGCCAATGGGGTCCAGAGGGTGCCCCACCCAGCCCTCAAGATTGGTGGTCGTCGTCACGCCTCTCTGCAGCAGCTCTGTAACGGAAGGCAGGCCTGTCAACCGAGGCAGCCAAACATGGGGAAAGCTGTCTGACTACACAGAGGAGCAGGGTTACTCTGCTCAGAGGTGAAGCATTATCGAAAATCAATCACTTAGATTTTGAAATGACAGCCCTTTCTGCCTATTCATTATACTAGTTTGCATGATTCATAACGATGTCTGCCGTGACCATTCGGCCCTAGACTCATCTTGATGCTTATGGCTGGCAAAGCCAAAATGCTGCAACGCATAGCCCCCTGGATAATTTTAGTCAAAGATAAAGAAATTAACAGAGCCACCCAGACATTGTGTCTTGTTAATGTCATTATATGGCAATATAGCGTTACAAGCACTCATGCTCAAGGGCTATTTTTGAAAGGTTAAACAGAGACCCAAGGTGCAAGGTGGAGAGAGAATTGCTTTTGCTGATGTCACGCAAACTGGTCCCCAGACAGTCTACACAGCTCATTATAAGTCTCTGACCTTTTTGATTTTTCTTGTGTTCACTAGTACTTAAATCTGCATTCACATTATTTAACCAAGATATTCTAGTATTACTGCAGGACACCTGTATCAGAAACGGAAGGCTTAACATCAAGATTTCACATACTTCTATTATATAGGTGTTTTAAAATAACTGATTATCCATTAGTGTGGTATTGCAGCTGCATATCCAGAATAAGCAGCCCCCTCTGACTTGCTTTCCCGAGAATCCCTTACTCTGCCAGGGCACACAAATGATGATTCAGCTGAAATGTGTGAGGTCTCCTGGCAGCTTTCAAATCAAGATGCATGAATAAATCAAAATACATGTCGTCTTGCAAGACGTTTTCATCCGTCATACATATTTCATTTTTTCCCCAAAATGGTATGTCAGGGCACTTAATAAACCACCTCAGCCTCTCGAAATCATAGAGACAGTAGTGTTGCATGGTGTGAATTAACTGTGCTGTTACAAGGTAAGGGCACTATAGCAGGATGGTCAAGACCCTGACAGCACTGTTCTTGTTTTCCATTAAAACCAAGGGGTTGTTACAGTGCTGAAAGAGCCGCTCAATCCCTAATAAAAAAAAATCACTCTCTCCAAATCGTACGAAAGCACTAGTGTGAAAAACACTAGGGTGAAAAACTGGAATAAGTCCTTATAGATCATAAGCAAGTGGGCAGATGGATGGTAGCCTTTTCTTCCTCTTGAGCAACTTGCACTCTTGTTTTCAGGGGCTAAAAAAAGTCTTCCTTCTGCAGCCTGCAAGCTTTTGGGGACGAACAAAAACTGGCCGATTCTGGAATGAAGTCGGTAACTTGCACGAGCAGAACAACAAGTGAAACGTGCGATCCTCACGCCACTTGTACAATCCATCCACAAAGCGGCGGATGCCTAAATCTCGATTGCGATTAAGCATCCCTCTTGTGGCAGGTAAGGCTGTTCCAGCGGACGGCTGTGCTGATTTATTGCATCCATCCGTTTTCTCCAAGTATGGCCACACATTTTCTGCGCCCCCTCTTCGCCGCATTACAGCGGCACGTTCCCAGCCACCAACGGGCCTTAATTGTGTCCCCTGCCTCACCTTCATCCTCCTCAGTTCAATCCGTGCAAGTTTCCGAAGGTAAATTCCCATGCTCTAATGTTCCCTACGAAACCCAGGAACCCACGGGCACGGGGAGTCGGAAACGCGCCGTTACCTTTCTTCTGGTGCTTGTAGATGTCCAGCTGGCGCTGCTGCTGCAGGCGCAGCGTGTTGATGATGGCGACGGCCAGGCGCAGCGCCTCCCGGGGGTAGCCGTGGGAGCGCAGGGCGTCCACCCGCGCGCAGGCCGTGGGCACGTGGTCTGGGACGACACGGAGAAACAGACTCTCAGAGAAGCGCCCTTCTCTCCCTACTGAACGTTCCCCACCAGCAACCCTTCGCTTGCACATCGAGATCCGCTGGCTCGTGTTTAGGATGAAAATGACCCCCCCCACCCCCCTATTTTTCATGTAAAAGGGTGTTTAAATAGTTGTGATCAATATTACCCGTTCATAGATATTGCAGAGCAAAAGCCATGCTGTTTTGTACATAACAGGAAATAATTTGCCTACGTGGCTGAAATCTTTGCCGCATCGATTATTCTGATGTAAACTTTCCAAACAATAACGGGACAAACGATCACTGGAGTCGGCTACTTCTGAATCAGCCTTTACCGGGACAGCTTAGTTACCTCAAAAGGCTCTGCACAGAAATAGAGTTAAGAGGGCTTACATTAATACTCAGTAGCTTACGGGTGCTGAAGTAAAGCGAATTCTTCTCTAATGCAGAGGCACACAGACCAGATTATTTGCTTTTACTCCCTGCGCAGATAAGCGACTCCGCTCCTCGCAATCAGATTCGCTGTACTGGAGGGAACATGCGAGGTTCAGGGCCGCTCCCTCTTTCCAAGGAAAGAAACCGAACAAGGGCAGGATTGGACAATAACCACCAGGTGACTAAGACTCGTAAACCTGCCGAGAACGTGCCAGCGCCCGCTCCCTTACCGAGCCACAGCGGGAGCCCCTGGGAGTTGAAGAGCAGGCTCTCTCCCTCTCGCTGGTAGGCCGGGGACATGTAGAAGTCGCTGCTGATTATCCTCTGGAGGTGGCTGTCCTGCCAGTGCAGGTCGCAGGCCTCCATCGCTCGGGTGAACACCGTCCTCCTCGGCCTGGCCAGGGAATCTGGAGCCCGGGGAGAGCAGGAGAGGTCAACGCGCGAGCCCCTCTGGGTGGCCGAGGCACGGGCCGGCCGGCCGGCCGGCCGGCTGGGGTGCGGATGAGAACAGAGCCCCCGCAGAAACGGTTCAGGAGCGTCCTCGCAGCACAAACGAGCCTCGCCCCTCTCCTCTTCAGAGCGTCAGCTGCCGAGCCCGTCGTCAGCTCGGAGGGTCTCCCGCGATGCAGCTGACATGAGCGCGGGGGAACCCTCACGCGCTGCTAATTGCCCCCAGAAGAGAGAGCCTTCTAAGCCGTGCTGCACCCCCTCAGCCCAGCGCAACTGCAGCCCCCTCTCCCATCTTCCCAGGCAGCCCGGTGTATACACTGCAGGCCAATTAAGAGTGCAGCAGATGGAGTGACTGCGATACATCCACCAAAGTTTCAATTAGAGGCAATTCCAGGAGAATTAGGTTTAAGCTGCTGTTTCCAAGATTCCATTTTGCTACGCTAACAAAGCGCTTACAACCTATTAAAAGTTATTTTAGTTTTTAAAAAAATTATATATTGAGACAGCGACAAGGGAATATCCAAGCTACCTGCAGCATATTGGAGACTGTGGCCTGCATACATAATTAGATGTTTTTCTCTTTGCCTGTTAATGAAGATTACAGTGGCTGTACGGGACTCGGAATGACCCGAGATATACAGTGGCTCAGAGCAGAGTTCGATTACTCAGTGAACCCACTGACTTCACGAACAATTGAACTCACATGGACTTGTGGAGTCCTGAATATTACAGGCAGTTTTAGATCAAAGGTAAAGAAGCATATTGGTGAGTGCAAAGGTCTTATTAACGATACGGAAATCAAACCCGTGAGGGAAGTAAGAAGCCTAAGCATTACATTTGACCCTGTTGTTGTCATGTGAAGCTCATTTTATGAACACCACAAGGGCATTTCTTTTCTCTGGTGTAACACTGCAGGCACTTAAGGCAGGGCTTGGGCTTAGTTGACGCAGAAACAGTTCCATGTCTTACTTAGAATACTGTAAGGCACTGCCCTCTATCTGCTAGGGCCCTGCACAAGAAGTTGAATGCTGCAGACACTGGAGCCTAGGGACTGAACGGTCAAGCTCCAGGCTAATCTGGAGGCCCTATTGAGTACAGTCCAGCTCTTAAACCAAGCGTGTTTTCACTCCGCCAGCGACCAAGCTCCACACAAGGGGAGCAGTCTCGCAAGCAGCCTCTTGTCTGTGGAACTCGCTGCCCATCCCGTCCCCATCAGACGCTGAAACGGTGGACATGCTTAAAATCCCGTTAAAGACCTCTCTTCTCATGGTAGCCTGTAGGGTTGGGAACTCAAGGCTCAAGATGGGTCGGCTTACCCTGGCTGAGGTTGGAGCTCTGCGGCAGGGCGTTGGTGATGTTGGGGAGCTCGCTGCCGTAGTTGCCGTCCTCCAGGGGGCACACGTCCATGTCGCCCCACTTCTTCAGCTGCCGGAGCCAGCAGGCCTTCTCCTCGCTCTTGCAGTGGGGGTTCAGGACAATGCACACCCACAATGCACCTGGAAAAACCGGCAAGAGGCCCGCACGGGCATGGTGAGAACAAGGCTGAGCCCCCACCCCCAACCAGCACTCCCCTACTGAAACGTTCACGGGTGACGCCCCCTGGGGGCGGAAAGCTTCTGCAGGGCAACTGAGTGCGGACAACCTCTACACACACACACACGCTGGGGGCCAGCCGACGGCCAAACCACAGACTCGCCAGTGAAATGTCAAGCAGAAAATAAGGCCATGATAAAAAAAAAACTGAACCGTATTGAACTGGGCACTGTATTTTTTTTTTGGTATATCTGAATCGTGGTGTGAAACCAACAGACCTTCGCCAAATGCATTAGTCATATTTTTTCTCTCCTGGTAACAGATGGCCGGGGCTGTGTGAAGTCTTTGTTTCTATTTTCAACTGCACTTCAAATCGGCAACAACACCCGTCTTCCTACTTGTGCCCTAGATCCATTACAGCTCTTCGGAGTCCATTACGAGTTCATTACATTCAGGCCCTGCTATTGTTTTGGCTATCGTGCAGTCCAACACAATTCCCGGAAAGACCTTTAAATGCACACATGCAGTTTCAGAATGGCGCTTTTCATTTATTCATTTTAAAATGTTAAATCAATATCGTTGAGGTTAAAAGTGAATTGATCTGGCTTTCTGTGAAATCAGAATCAAGATGAGTGCTTGACCTTGCATATCTAACATATCCACTCCTGAGCACCGAAATGACTATACTCCTAGAGTGCAGCTACTCTCAGGGAGGTGCAGCTCAGGGGTAGGCTGTGCTTCTGCACAGCAGGGTGTGATCTCGGCGAAAGAGAGCAGATCTTACCTAACTCATCCCACAGCTGCCTGCATTTATCAGTCATGCCTGTTCCCTGTTGTCTCCATAGAGACAGACGTGGGTCTGCCATGAACTGCTCCGTTATTAAGGTCAACATCCGGGCACCGTTTGAATCCCTCATCCTTAACATCTCTCGCACCTGCCAAACCAGGGGAACACGGTCAGCCTGGCATCCCGAGTTGACGCGGGAAAAAAACAAAACAAAATCAAACTTCCTTTGTCTGCGAAAACATCATTTCTAGCAGTCGTGGTCGTATGCAAAGCAATCAAGCGAAGACAAAGCAGGTTTCCGTTTGGCACACGCAGAGACAAAAAATGCTACCATCAATTAGAGCTTAGACTTTCTAAAACAAAAAGAGGCGGAACACAATTTGCAGTGTCCCAGTCGGCAAACTGGCTTGCAGGACGATGGCACCGGTACAGCGCACCCACCTTGGCGAACATGGAGTTGAGCTGCTTCCCTGTGCCGTAGTAGCCTCCCTGGGAGAGGAACTGCTTCACCTGCTCGCGCACCTGTTCCTCGTCCAGGTGCCAGCAGTTCTCGTCGTCGATGCTGGCCCCTGCCGTAGGGTCGGGGGCCCCTGCAGAGAGAGCGGGCCGGTGAGCCGCGGAGCTGGGGGGGCCCTTCCGAACGCACGACGGGTACCGCAAAAACACGCGCGCACGAGAGAGAGAGAGAGGCCGCGGCACCTTGGGCCAGCTTTAGACAAGGAAGGGAGCAGCACAGAGGCGCAGCCATAAAGAGGTCACAGGAGGTTTGTGGGACACAAGAGTGGAGGAAGTTTGTTTTTTTGCCGCCATCGCCAATCTACTACATTAGGAAAGAAAGAAGCGGTTAGGAACAGGTAGAGGTTTATCCCATGCTGGAAAGAAGAGAAGAAAAGAGATGCGACGTTTCGGCGGTGGAGCCTTCTTCGGCTGTTTGTTTCGACTGATACTGCGATATTAACCTGTTTTCCTTGTTGACGCCAACAAAACAAATGCATTTGGGGAAAAAAAACAGCATTTAAGAAAATCAGGAGCAGGTAACCTCGGGTCTTCTTATTATTAACAGGGCTACTTCCTTCCAATAGACCAGTTCCTGAAAATATCCATAATTGACACAGGTGTCGAAGATCACTTGGAGAATTAAGGATTTGCTGGAACAAAGACTCGCGTTGGAAAGGAAGAAAATAAGGCTACTAAAAACCTTGCACAGATTTTTTTTTTTGCAAAGCCGAATTTATATCCTCATTAAGCCCTGACACTCTACAAAACTTTAGATGCCCATGTTGCCAATGTGTCTGCCAGTTTTCAGAGAGGATTTGATGAATAAGGTCCAGGAAACGCACCATGAAAGATATCCCCTTCCCCCTTAAAAAACAAAGCTCTTCAAACACAAACAGAGCTATCTATAGCACTGGATTCAGACTTGAATTTCCTTTTTCAAGGGAGTACAAGTAAATATTTACAAATAATCCAGATCACTGGAAGCAGACAATTTATAATTCACTTTTTCAACCTCCTCCAAAGACTTGGGGAGGTGGGGGTGAGGGGGCAAAGCTTGCTCACAAGAAGCCTGGAGGAAGTTTGCAATGTCAGTTATGCTCTTCCACTCTTTCCCCCTGACCTTCAGAAATGCAAAGCAAGAGCACACTTCAGCCTCTCTGGCAGCTGCAGAAACGGTTTCTGAAGGCTCCTCTCTGCTGCAGAAATTGAATCATGGCTTTGTAGGGGAGTGCTCGCCCCCTGTAGCTAATCCTGCAGGAAAGCGGGCTGGAAATAAACAAAACAAGAGGAGAAACAAACATTTGTTGTTGTTTTTTTTTACCGTGGACTTGATTGATTTCCGAGTTGGACGACAGAATCTCGTCGGCCAGTTTCTGTGCAGTAGGAAGAACCTCTGTGTGGTGTGCCGTGATCAGATACTGTACAAATTTTTGCAGCTGGTCCCTGTTCATTTGGAAAAGGGTCTCTGAGATGGGAAGACGCAGTTTGACCGAGTCTGGCTTTCGGATCCGGTACAGGGAGAGCGCCACCACATGGGCGCAGTAGAAAATGTCCTTGTTCCCGCAGCCACAGGTGACCGAAGTGATCTTGCAGCGGTCGAAGCTGATGGCTACTTTGTAGGTGGTTTCGGGCTCCGACTGGGAAGCTGGCTCCGTCACTGTCCCGCTCAGATGAAAACCTGGAATGACGGGGGGAAAGGTACATGAGCACTCAAACACAGGACGCCGTGGATTTGTCTAGTAGGGTGCATGGGACACTTGTGAGGGCTGGAGTTATTAGGTCTGCTTTAAAATTAGTCACAGGCTGATTTGCCAAATTTCACGTTTGCCTTGTTCAACACATCAGCCAGATGTGCATTTGCAAGTGGTAGGTGGCTGGGGTCGCTGAAAAATGTAACCCCATGACGTGTCAAAAATATTTAACATACCGTAAAGCCTCACACAGGGGCATCACGCGGATATATCAAAGTGAGGGAGTGGTGAGGAGACTAGCAAGGCAGGAGGGTACAGTAAACAACTGCATTACTCCAAGATCTGTTACTTAACATCCCCCATCTCTTCAAATGTCACACACCAGTGGGGTCTCTTATCCCCTACTGGCTGCGCTGAGCACTGAGCTCCCAGCGGAGCCATCAGCTAACAACAGCGCCATGTGAATTATCACTGACCCAGTCTCCTGAGGCACACTATCTCTAAACCTTTTACTGCTTCACCCACATGCCTTGCTAAAAAGATTAGACTACACCACAGCTGCTCCCTTTTATCATTAAATAATTTTTCGCAATTTACAATCGGTGAAGGGAGATAACGGGCTTTCGGTATCCCAAGTAACGATCAGAGTCTCTGTGGTTTCCCCCTGCATCCCAACGCCACCACAGAGAAGATTTCGGTCATGAGCCGAGACCAGAAAAGCTCTATCGAGACGGCAGATTATTATTTTGAGAGGAAACAATAGAGTTTTGATTTCATTGCCTGCAAAGTCAAAAATATATAGGCCTACAGACATAGAGCTCTATGCCTTCTGCTAAGCACCCTTAAAGCTATTTCAAACAATTTAAACCATACTGCTTTTAAGCCACCATGCATTACTTACTGCACTGCCATCGGTGGTACGAATATGATGCGCATTTGTGCAGAGATGTACAGATTTACTGAAACCTAAAGGAAGGGCTTGCAATGCACTACAATAGAACAAAAAGTAATAATGGAGATGGTTATACCTTCACAGAAATCCAAAACATGGCCAAAAGTGTTTTAACATCGTAGAGCACAAATACCCAAAGATTCTCTTACCACTTTGGCTGATGTTAAGGTGCAAGAAACCTGATGTTAAGGTGAAAAAAAAAAAGCACACCAACGTAACTGCAGTCAGTAATCTTTCAGGACTCTGGCATTCAGAACTTCTCATTTGGATTGTGCCATGATCCTCGATGCAGGTTTTCACGATAATCAACAAACCCCGTTTACCATTCATGAACACTGGGCAAGACTGCCATTCCACACTGTGCCTTCTGAAGCATACAGCAACTAAGCCCCTTATTAACTATGACTTTTCCACACCAAGCCATTCGGAAAAAATTACAGTAAACGGCACCCTTTAAAAACACTTTCTATTTAAGGTAAAACCATCAATTTCGCACAAAACCCGAACCTTATGGTGAAGATAATTTAATGCACAATGTGTGACAAGCCACAAGAAATGGTAAAACTGAATCTTGCAGTATTTTCATGTTGACCTTAGAGAGCACTACAGAGTTAAGGTACAGCACAGAGGAAATGGCCAAGATCCATAAATCGTTCCAATGCAAAATTAACCACCAATAATGACCCTTTGAAGAAGTAAAACCTTATTTCGAGACTTACCAACGCGTGAGCTGTTGGTAATTCTAAAAACAAAAGGGGGAAAAAAAAAGCCTTTTTATGGCTATGCATCAGCAGTCGGGACATAATTAAGCAGGAATTTTCCAGCTAATTTCAGAAACATTTAAGACATTAAAGTATGACGAGGCATGAAAAAAAGCCACTCAGATTTGAGAACTGGACCGTGCAAAAGCAAGATGGAAATGGGAAGCATCTGCATCCAATCAAGTGCTTTGCTCCTCACTTTGTATTGTAAATATTTAATTGTGGGGGCCAGCAGGGAGGCTGGAAGTGCTGAATCTCTGCAGTGTGCCGTGTGACAAAGACAGCCTCCTGGCACTGGCTGGGGACTGCATGTACACAGTCCTCATCTCTGCGTTTCTTCACTTCACTGGGTACGGAGGAGACGAGAGACTGAGCGCCGAGATCTTACTCCGGTTTTCGTGGTTCCCAGCGTCCCCTGGTCGCGTGACTGGTCTCCGAGGAGGGAGAAACAGAGAAACCACGGCCCTTCCAGCACCGCGAAGGCCTCAAAAGGCAGACCGTCCTGTGCTCGGATCACAGGTCAGCCACAAACGTGCTCTGTGACCTTCAACACGTCGACTCGCTTCACATTGCCACGTTGTGACTCACGGCTAGGAGCAAGGTTTCTGGATATCCCAGACTGCGCATCAACACCCGAGCGAAGCGCTGGGGGTTAATGCCTTCAGAGGCCGTCATGGGCCACTGCCTTTAAATACCCGAAGCAGAGCAAGGGAGCCGTGCTCCTCTGATGGAGAGAGGTGTCCGGAGAGCTGTGGAAGGGCCACAGATTCACCCTGGCCCAAGATAATCCCCCAGAATGCATCCGCGGACCCCCTTTACAGCGGAGTAATCCACTGAAAAGGGTGAGATCTCTGTGGTTTCTGTCAACCGCCGAGCTAGCAGGGTAGATGAATATTTTACACCCTGTGGTTAATAATGTTTTTTTTTCCCCCATTCACAACATCCTCCCCCAAAATCACTGTACCTGTTACACCAACAGTGAACAAAATGCAATTACTACCTTTCACAGTTTACCGCGATTTGAGGAGGGTCAGAACAGCTACACAGCGCTGCTTAATAAGCATGTGCAAAGCCCGCTGTACCCTTGCCAAATCCCACAAAAGGCTTTTCCAGACGAGTTCTATCGAGAGCCTTTTTAAAGGAATCCGACCTCCAATTTACTGCCAAAGCCTTTCAGGCAGAGCCAAAACCGCAGGCCTATCTGATGAAGGCAGTTTAGAGTGATGTCTGTTTTCATTTTGATAAAAAGAGAGAAAGGAAAGGGGGTACCCTTATGTGGGGCAAAATTAGTCTCCAGACAATAGAGTTCAAAGTTAAGTCTGGACTCTGTAAAAAGGGTGTACAGCTTTATTTAGCGCTGCTCACAAGAAGATATTAAAATGTTTTTAAGGCAAATATCCCATTACTTTCTAGTGGGAATGTCAGTTTATATAAAACATATGATCTGTATATAGATTAATACAAGTGTAGCAGAGAGAAAAGGATCGTTACCAAAACCGACATTTCCATGCCCATGTAAAATTATTCAGAAATGCTAAATTCATTCTTAACGCAGAGGTCTCGGCATGGCATAGGATGTAAGAAAATCCAATAACATTTGTATATTGCCTCAATTTGCATTACTACTATATCTGCTGCGTTCTACATCACCGCTAGAGCAGAGAGAGCTATCACAGACCCCCGGTCCACTGTCCAGGCTGAGGGTATTTCATTCACGAGGCTAAACTCATCTCTCCCACACCGAAACACTCGAGGGGGAAGTGAGAGCAGCAGCTTGAGAGGCGCAATGTTTCTGACGGGGTGGAGTCACCCCACCAGTCTCTCTCCGCCCGGCAGGTGGGGGCAGCCCGTGCCTCGTGCGCCGGGGTAAAACGTGGTCCCACCTCCCCCCTTAGCCCGCAGAATCGCCTGCTGGCGAAACGCTGCCCCTGCCCTGTGGAAACCTGACGGAAAAGTCCGAGGGTTTAAACAGCTGTGTGAAAGGCCAGGGAGGCTGAACTGCGTCGGCGCCCGCATTTCACCGAGTAAGCACAGAGCGGATGGAGAACTCGGTTTCTGTTCCCGGTTTAGCGCGGTGCAGCGGGGGAGAGGGGGCCGCTGGTCTTTGAACAATGCCGAGCCCCCCACGACAACCCTCCCGTCACGGAGGAAAGGATTAAACAGCCGCCTTTCTGTTTACACACTCTGTTAGCCAAGGATTAAGGCAGACAATGTGCGAGGGCCTGACTTTCAAGGTGATCAATACAGGCAAAGATTCTGAAAGGCACAATAAAGAGGGCATTTCTGTCGAGGGACTGCGAATTTGCAAGCAAGATCTAGAAGAAAACTGCTACTATGCCTCTTCTTTGTGCTCACAAAGGCCTGCCAGCCTGCTCAGAGCTGCAATTATTGAATTATTACTGGTGGACTTAACTTTTATTTTTGAATTCCCCCTTTTAATACTACCGTATTAGTAAAAACCAGACAATAAAACTGTTCGAAATCACCCACTGGAACAGATGATGCATTTTAGGAGTTCCTGAAGCCTTTGGAGAATGTTTAGCGCTGCTTGGAAACAGGCAAAGAACGACTGGCAGTTCACCAGTTTTGAGAACGCACAAAGCCTTGTTATATAGCGCTGTACCTTTCTCCCAGCCATCAGTCCTGGGGTACACCTTAACACAGGTGTTCAGGCATGCAAGGCATGCTCAACCTATCTGAGACTTTGAACAACACCACACTCTCAACTGTTAGACAATGACATTTTTGGCAGAATTAACAGCTGACCAGGATCCACGCCTTTCATTACATGGCACGTAACAGAGGGCGAAAAATAAACTGGAAGACAGCTCCCTCCTGTTTCACACCTACTCACCTTTCTGAATAGCTCTCCCAAGCCTTTTTAATTTTAATCGTCTCGCCTGCTGATCTACTCTGCAGCCTGGAAGCAATTGAGCTCAACAAGCAATAAACAAAATGCCACCTTCCACACTTAGAAAGATACTTTCTGGGAAGAACAGAAGTATCCTGTAGAAAAGGCACAAGACTCCTTGGATGTGGTAGGAATAACTGGAACAGGAGCTGCCTTGCCCCGGAGGAGGTTTTAGTAGGCCCTTACGTACCTGCTTTGCCTAACGTCCTTATACTGCAATCAAAGCTGAAGAGTGAAATGGCCAGGGCGATGGTATACCGTATGGTACCAGTGAACATTTATTCTACCATCTCTAGTGAAAGACATTTTAATGGTATTAGTGCCATTCGAAACATCTGTCAGCTACTTAAGCAGCTACCTAAT